TTGTTGGCTACCAGCTAGTGGAAAACACTACCGTCTGTAAAAACCTCCTGACCATGTAAATTCACAGACTTCTCCTGATCTGACTGTGCCCCAGTTCTGAGAAAGCAGGAGGGAGGAGCTGTAGTGTTTAGGCTTTGTGGTAAACACTCAAAAATATGTACTTTCTAGGTTCTGTCTTTGTTTAGTGGCATAACTTGCAGATGGGCAAACAGCAGTCATTGTCTGTGGTTTTTCCTCTCCCCACTGCCATGTGGGAGATCTGACAACTGATATACCTAACTTACCAAACAGAAATATTCAGATACATTCTTGTCAGTGATGAAATTACAGTCCTACGTCTGTTATTCAAAAAAAAAAGAAAAGAGTTAAATTAACTCACTCATGTGAGTGAATTACTGCATATTAGCTATGGTAATTGGCTGTAGGCAAAATTCAGACAAGCATGCACTCAATCAACATCTGCCCCAGTTTAGCAGTACGTATATTACCACCAGCAGTGGATTGTCTAGCACAATGTAACTGGTGTTTTAATCTTTTCTTGTCATGGCAATCAAAAATTCCAGGAAAACCACTGCTTGTGGCAACACTTATTCATGTTCTGTATTGACCAAATGTCCCTGAACTCAGCAGCTTACAGAGTTTTGAGCTTGGTTAGACTCCAGCAGCTGCTTTTTTGCTGTTTGTGGTGAGTCTTTTTGCTTGCTTTTGGTTTTCTTACACTTCACTCCAGCTTCAGACACATGAAATTTCACCTAGATACGCCTATGTTAAGGCCAGACAGGTTAGGAGACCAACATGTTCTTGGCACTTGAGCCCTGTGCACTGCATAAACTGTCAGTTAAGTGAAACATTGGGACATCACGGAAGACGAGCTGCAGAAGAAGGCAAAGCATTCCTTAGCCAGCCTGGGAGAAAATTCATTCTTCACCACCTCCTGGCCCTTTGCAGTGTCCCATGTCCAGACCTGGCAGCTTCTTATGCTCTGAGGGAAGGCAAATCTGTAAGAACATGTGGCTCAAGAGCCTACTGCACTTAAAAAGTTGCACTCATGTGGAGGCTGAACATGTCCTGTTATAGCTTCCCGTCACTGAATCTTGTTATCTCTTTGCAAAAAGTTTAAAAAAATTCCCATCAGTGTAAGAACCATTCTGGTTCTTGCAATCAGACATCTGATATGAAGCAACTGTAATTAGTTTCATAAATACATATTAATTGTATGAATTGTATGGCCTTGTACTTTTTTTTTTTTTGGCTTGTGGTATTCTAGATGATGAAGTAGATGATCTAGCAATCTGTTCTGACCTTAAAAGCCTAGGAATCTATGTTTGTGGCCCTCTACAGAGACAGACAGTAGTTGCCAAAAGATCTTTTTCTGCTTCATCCAACAAGGAACTATTGCAGAACTGAGACGTGGAATCAGCAATGTATCTGAATGCTAATATCCCTTTATAATTAAGCAAAACCTTATAATTAGTGCTGCCTGATTTGCTGCAAGTCTTTGTGGTTTTGAATGCTCTCATTATCTCCAAATAATACCTAGCTGTGTAATGCCATCTTCAAATAATTATCATCTGTGAGTTCTGGGTAGTAAAACTGACAATGAACTAATCAGGCTTACAACTGCTAAGATACTCTAATAGACAAAATATTTGACTTGAAATATAAAATGCTATAAATTGTGTGGTCCCCACGTCCACAGAGACTAATGAGATGTTCTGAAACCTATGGCACACAGCCTGAGCTGCTGAAGTGGTGTCAAGAGTGTTCAGGTTTTGAGTTCTTTTAAGAGAGATCAAGGAGGAATGTCTAGTAATTTGTGTGCCTCAGCTTTTTGCAAAATGGGTGATGATTCCAGTCAGCTGGAGTCCCTGAAGCTTCTACTAGTGACTATGATAGTCTATTTAAAAATTATTACTTCTCTTGTTTTCCAGATTATTCAGGACAGAATATTTAAGCACATATCACGTAACAGCTTAATATGGAACAAACATCCTGGAGGGTTATTTGTACTGCCACAGTATTCCTCATATCTGGGAGACTTTCCTTACTACTATGCTAATCTTGGTGAGTGAATCCTTGCTATAATGTAGTAGCGTTTGGAATTTCTAGTGGAAATTTGGAATTTAGTCTTTGAGTAGCATGTGCCAAGTGACTTGCCATTTGTTTGTAGTTAATGGTGCCTTTCGTTTATCCTGTCTCAGTCTTTCTTCCCTGCCTACTGTAGACTGGAATGTCTCTGACTCATCAACATGCATCATATGTCTCTCCCTTGCAAAGATTTTTTAAAAAAAAATCTATGTCCCTTCATACTTTTCAGTTGCTGGTAATGAATGCCTGAGTTGCTGATGCATTCATGGCCTGAGGGGACATAAGAGGAGTAGCTTTTTCCTTTCTTTGTTTATTTGTGCTTGGCAAATTGGAAAAGTGGTAATTTACCCATGACACTTGTTACTGGAGTGCACAGTTGGTATGGATTTGTTCTCCATACGATGTGTCTTCATATGGATCCCACTAGAAGGAATGAATAGGGCTTAGGTTCATGGCTTTTTCCTGGAGCAGAGCTTGAACAATGAGTTCTGCAGGCAAATGTGCCTACAGGCTGAAAGGCTGAAGTGATCCTGCTTACCATACTGCTGCTACTTTTGGCTCAGCCTGTGCCATCCCACTTCTGTGGATCTGTACTGCTCACCTACTAAAAATTCACAGTTACTGTGTTAAAAAGGGGGGAAGAAGGTTTCTGTGATAATTTTGATGAAAAATGACTGTGACCCCACACAGATGAATTTAGATGAGGTTGAGAGCGTTAATGAAGGATAGACACCACTAGGATCTGTTATTTCAGGCAGAAAAGGAAATCATAGTGAGACAAAAATATCAGAATGGAAGGCAAGCAGAATTATCAGCTCAGGAGGTAATCGATGATGCATGTGGAGGGGAATCAACCCAGAAAGAGCAAAAATCTGTCAGAGACTGTAATGGAACTGAGGAAACTGAACAAGCTTCTGGAAATTATGGAGATAGCCTGTAGAAAACACCGAGCATCCAGAGCCAGGTAGTAAAACAGAGCCTGTGTCAGGGACATTTGACTGAACAAACTAGATGTCAGTATTATCCGTGGGACAAACTGGATGGAAGAAAGAGATTGCAGGACATCTCTGGAAATAGTGAGTAAGAAAAGGCAGTGTCTTGGAGTCAGGTATTTCAGAGGGTGTGGGAGTTAACAGGAAGTGTGATCTCCTCATCTGGTATCCTAGTATCTGAGATGAAGGAACATGGCCTAAAAAAACATGGCAAGGTTTACATTAAGTGCACATTGTTTTTTCCATCTCTGGAGTCCTTTAATCTGTACTAACTGGGGCGGTTTTGTCTTTACTGAACACGTATGTATCTCTTCACTTCAGGTCTGAAGCCTCTTTCCACATTCACTGCCGTTATCCACGCAGTAACTCCCCTGGTTTCCCAATCTCAACCTGTGCTGAAACTCCTGGTTGCTGTAGCCAAGTCCCAGTACTGTGCACAGGTAAGCAGCACTGTTTGGCTGTCAGTCTCAACAGAGAAAAACCGCCCTGCCAAGAATGAAGAGCCTGGAGATTCAGCCCTGTTTCAATTCTGATGTTTCTTTCCTCCGAGATTTCTGCTATCTGTGACCTACATGCATGGGAAACAAAAGTTCTGAGTATAATGGGAGTGGAATAGAGATAGTAATTAAACCCTTTTGTTACATGAGACAGGTAAAATAATGACTGCACTTTAAAGATCAACATTGTATGTGCTGCAAGCTGCAAAAGGATGTCTGTGTCTCAAGAGCTGCTGTGTGATCTTCCTTCCTCCTGCTGTGGCTCTTAGACTTATCAGTGCCAGGATTTTGGCTTCTCTAAAAGAAACCCTGGGGAGTTCAGTAGGAGCACCCTCTTGCAGTAGAGTGTCACAAGTGGTTTTGCCTTTAATGAGAACCAAAATAAATCAGTGACATCCGTATGACCTGGCCGAGACAAAGACTTCCCAAGTTCCTATCTGGTCTATATTTGCCTGAGAGGATGTATATTGTAAGTAATCAGGTTGGGTGAAATTACTGTAGGAAGTGTTATTTTTGTACATATTTGTACCATTGTTTTTGATTTTGAAACTCCTGATTTGAATTTAACATGTCTGTCTGGAGATCTGGGACCTTAGTGTTTGGACTGCATTGCCACAAAGGTCTCTGATCATGGTCCAATACTCTCTTTCAGATTATTGTTTTATGGAATTGTGATAAACCTCTCCCAGCCAAACACCGCTGGCCTGCCACTTCTGTGCCTGTCATAGTTATCGAAGGAGAGAGCAAGGTAGGTGGAGGGAAGCACAGTAAAATGCTGCCTATATTCTCTGATGAGATAAGAATTTATTTTTCTGGCTGCTTTGGTGAAAGCTTCGTAGTTCCCAACTATGTGACAGCTCCTTTCTATTCCTTAGCCTTTTGTACCAGCTTGGTCACAGATTTGTGTTTCATGCATGGGCCCTGTGCTCACAGAAGTCATCAGCATGGCAATTAATGCCTTGAATCTGAGATTCACAGATGGGACCCAGTTTTGAAATGTGGTCCTGAGAGTAGGTAGTGCTGATCCCATCTGTGGAGATTTCTGCCTTTCTGCAAGTGCATGAAGGTAGTGATGCAGCTTCAGCATTGAGTCTGAGCAGTCAGATGCAAGACTTGGGAGTCAGCTGTGAACTCAAAAGCAGAGGAAAAGATGAGAACTAGCCTTTGAAAAGTACCTTTTCTTATGGTCTTGTGGGGTACTGATGCCAGTGATGGGGTCTTACCATCAAAAAAAAAAAGGAAGGGACAAGGGACGTGGGACAGTTGTGGGAGCAAAATCACCACATCATCTCTTGCTGTGCAACACACATTTGTTTGTACTTTCACAAAGTCAAAACAGACAGCATCAGATGGGAAAAGAATGGGTTTTTAAAATCCACACTGATGTGGATTATTCCTTTACAATGAGAGAAGCAAGACTTGCCTTGAGACTCTGAAACAGATTTGGGCTGGTCCCCTCTGCAGTCGCTGTCAGCTGGCTCTTGAGCTCTGCATTGGCAAAGGAAACTTTAAGTTGCTTTGGCTGTACAATCCTATTTTGAATTTATAATCCTCTCTTTGGTCTTTTCCCCCTGTCACCTTAACAAGGGGAGAGAGAGAGCCCTGCAAAGTTGGCAGCTAAATGCTATCACCTTAGCTAGCCATGTAAACAGTATCAGGAGAGTTGCTGCAGGGCCAAGAAAGGCTATGGTGATTTCCGAACCTTTTGATTGTTCTGGGTTTTTTTAATTTTCTTTTTGTAAAACTTGCAGATGTGAGATAGAGGAGAAAATCTCTGACCAGTTCTACAGTGTTTGTAGAAATTGGCCCCAGGCACTGTTTAGATTCCAAGTGAGTCTCCTGAGTACACAAAGGTGTGTTTATACTGGACAGTCTCTTCCCTCTAGTATCCCAACGTATGCCAAATGGCTTCATGCGTGGAAAGCTGTTTGTTTGGACAAAGCTTGTAGAGCCAGAGCAGTGCAATTTAAAGGTTTCATAAAGGAACTGCTTTTCATCTCCAGACTTAACTGAAACATACTGGCAGGCACATTACTCTGTGCGGGTGATCGCAGAGGTCTGCCTTTACCTAACCTCAACTCTTCCCCATGAAATCAAGAGATATTATCACACTCATTTTACAAAAGGTAGCTTTAGCTATGAAACAAATACATGGCTAGTCCCGACTGTTGTACTATTTGACAATTTCACATGGTCTGTGAAAGATCAGAGGTGAGAATGCAGGTCTCCTGCCGGCTGTTTGCTCTGCATTGCCTTAGTGTAAGCAAAGCAAAACCATCAACCTCAGCCAGATCTCGTACCAGCTACCGCCTCCCCAGAACAAGGCCATTGTAGCAATGAAGAGATACTCTCCAGATAGACATTGTGAACATCCTGATTATGGAGACAGAGCTTTCTCTGAATCAAGGCATAGATTCCGAAGACTTGCTCCCAAACACGTTGCAGGGGATGCAGAACTGACAATGTCCATTATGAGAGATGTGTAAAACTCCTCCATGTCTCTGTTTCCATATAGTGGTTTCCTCTTACTGGTCTCGACTTTCGTAGTGTTTTTTGGCTTAATGAATAGGAAAAGAAGTCTAGTGACTAGCCAGACTATTTTTCCTAGCAAATGAGGGAAAAAAATCGTGTTGTGTCCTTGTTACATCAGCTTTCCAAAGGTGCTAATTAGTCTGCTAAAGAAACCATATAGATTTTAATTTCATGCTATTATCTTTTTGATCCAGCTTTCCCATCTATTTCCTGTTACTTTGAGGACCATGCTACCATATCTTTCCAAAACTTATACTGCATATAGGTTTTATATGTATAGAATGGTTTGGGTTGGAACGGACCTTAAAGATCATCTAGTGCCAACCTGCCTGCCATGGGCAGGGACACCTCTCACCCTAGACCAGGTTGCTCAGAGCTCCATCCAGCCTGGCCGTGAACACTTCCAGGGATGGGGCATCTACGGCTTCTCTGGGCAACCTTTTTCAGTGCCTCACTACCCTCACAGTAAAGATTTTTTCCTAATATCTAACCTAAACTTACTCTCTGTCTGTTTGAAGCCATTCCTCCTTGTCCTGTCACTCCATCTTTCTTGTGGGCTCCCTTCAGGTACTGGAGGATCACTTAGAATGTGACTTCTTAAAAAGCTACAACACCTATATAATTCTTGATGCAAATAAAACTCGATACATGTGTTCTATAGCATATTCTCCTTTTCTGACAGGGAATGTTGCATCATCCTGGTACTGTAACATCCTTCACACACAGTCTGGGCTGCTTGGTTTCCCAGCTGCGTAGCCTTATGAATGCTGCAAAGTCCTTCTCAGTGAGGGACAGTCTTAGCTACCAGGGAAAATGTCCTCTCCAAAGAAGCTGTAGGTACATCTAATTCTCAGTATGGACCATTGCAGTTTCTCACAAAAGGAAAGCACCCTGCTCCAAAGAGGGAGGTCTTTTTGGAAATTACTTCTCAGACAGAAGGTGTAGGCTGACTGCTGGGGTGAAAAAATGACACTCTTTCACTCTTGAGCTGAAGAGTCCTTTCCATCAGACAGAAATATGCCATGTACCTCAGACAAGAGGAAATAAGAGTGAGGAATAAAATGGAGTATTTACCTTGGAACTGAGTAGTGATTTTTATTTTCTCCCCTTCCTGCCTTGGATACCCACAGGTTATGAGCAGTCGCTTCCTGCCCTACGACAACATAGTGACAGATGCAGTGCTAAGCCTGGATGAGGACACCGTGCTTTCAACCACTGAGGTAAGGGTCTCTGTCATACTGGGAGACTGCTTGGCTCCTGGGCTCAGCCTGAGCACAGCAGATATGCTCTTCTCTGGGCTTTGCCAGTGAGTAAATGTTATAAGATTTCCTGCCACACTCCTCAAATTTAACGTGTTGCACTTGTTTCAGCAATGCTGCCACTGCCTGCCATCAGAGGAGCTTTTCGCCCTGGTTAATTGGCTCATCATTAGCATATGGTTCTTCCGTTCTTTATTATTTTAGTAACATAGCTGCAGGCGGGTGTAGGCAGCCAAGAGCAGTCAGCTTTAATATTCTGTTCTCACTTTTCTGATTGGGGTAGCTTCCCCCCCTCCCTACATTATCAGTAGGGTGTAGGTGGAGAAGGAAGGGTTGTCAGCAGCAGAGGACTGCTATCGCTCTAAAAGACAGCAGTGCCACCCTAATGCAGGATTTCACTGAGGAATGTTCTTTCACCATTGTGTCAGCCCATAAAATTGGAGATCTTTGCTAGTTTAGGTCCTTGAGTGTTTGTGCCAAGAGCAAGATAGCACTAAGAAAAGAAAAATACTGTAGAAAACCAATTTTTACAACTGGGATGAGTATTGATTTCTAGAACCTCTTCCTGAGAACCACAAGGGAAACTGATGACAGTTTATATAGAGTGCAATATTTGGGAAATACATTATTAATGATGGCCAGGGAATAGCTTGAAAAACTCGGTTTTCTTTTGTTTTCCCTTTTTTCCCCCATGTTCATGGCCATTCCCCTCTCCTCACTTCACCTTTATAAAAATGCATTTTTGTCAGTGGTGGAGATGCTACCACTACTTATATATCAGTGAAGAAATGTGTAACATTAATCTTCAGTCACTGCTATATACCCTGTGATGTTACTGAATTTGTTCTAAATTGATGAAATTGCAACTGCTCTTCTTCTCTGTGCGGATGTTGTGCTGTGGTTAGACTGCTCCAGAAAGAGCCACAGTAGCCCTCTTTTGCTTCACAAATGGAAGAAATAGTTGACATTGAACCTATTTCGTACCAAGGTTACACCTTGATAGTTTCTGCTAGATAAGAAAGAATATGGGTGCTGCCAAAGCACTTGTGTGCAAAGCCCTGCACAGCCCAGTAAAAGGCATTAATCCTAGGACTGGAGTTCCTGAGCAGGTTGTTGCTCAGGATGAAGGGTCTCAGCTGCCTTGGGGACCATGGTAAGACCTCTCAGGGACTTCATTGCCCTGAGGGGGTATTTACAGCAATTCCATGTGGATTTCATGAGGATTTGGGGCTTTGTTTTGTTTTAACTGATACTTATTTGTCATCCAAACTTTGGAATCATTTAAGCTTCTGGAACACATATGAAGTAAATAAATAGTGTTCCTCATTCCTCTTGGCCGTGTTTTACCCTAACATTCTGAAATGCAAATATTTGTTGTTGTGTGAGACAACATACATGTTTCTTTGTGGCTTCTTCCCTCCTGTGAGCAACTTGCAGTTGATCCTGTGTGTTTGTGCAGTGGCTGTTTGCTCTATGAGCTCATGGCCCCTGTGCTGCAGACAGAACCAGCTGGCCAGCTCTTGCCGGCCCCCACCTTGCAGCTTTGGCGTGTCTCTGCCAGGGTGCCCGGGTCAGCAGCTCTCCTTGGTGGCTCTCCATGAAGAGCTGGTGGGCCTCCATTGCTTCACTTCCCCCACTGTACAGCTTATGCAAATGCGGTGTGACATTTCCTTTGAAAATGGCTGCTCATGGTGCTTCAAGGTCCAGAGAAAGCAATTTAGGAATGTGGTCAAATACAGTCACATTCTCATTGAAAGGAGCAGTCACCAGGCACATCCTCTGGACTGTCCAGCCCTGGGGTAGTAAAGGTTTTCCATCCACAATGGAACAGCGCGTAATTGCTCTGTGACGGGAGCTGTTCCACATGCGCAGAGGGATGTGTGCGTGAGTCGTAATCTGAAATCAGCATGGGTCAGTGATCCGGAGGTTTAAGAGACTGGCAGCTTGGCTGGATTTTCCTGCTGATCAACTGAGAGTGGCAATGCTGCTGGAAATTATATAGGATGAGAACTGAGGGATTTTTTTAATAAAGGCACTTTACTCTTAGGGTGGTTGCTTTAGTGTGTCTCCCTGGTACAAGGACAGATAGTTGAAAGCACAAGAGAGGGCACTGAGTGCAGAAGCTTTATTATTTATTTAGTTTGAGATTCTCAGACTTCTCTAAAGAAAACAGATGTCACGTTTTATGGGAAAGGCCTTTATAGGGGAAAAAACTCTCTAGTTCTTTCATGTGGTATTGATCAGAACTATCACAACGGTAAGTGGTTTGTGCACATTGTCTTTCTAGTTGGCCTCAGATTCCTTGAAACAACTTTAAAGAAAATATCCAGTCCCTAACTTTGTGTTCCAGTCCATGTGTGACTCTTCTGTTTCATAAAAACACTTGTAAATGTGAGAAGTCTGACAGTAATCAACACGAAATGGGACTGTTCTCAGAGAAGCTATTTTTTATCTAACCTCTATACCCTTGACTTTGGCTGCTCTCCTGGAAGACTTTTCAAACATTTTTGAGCAAGGTTTTAGGTCCCTCTGGTACTGGAGCAGCCCAATGTGCAGCGCAGAAGCAAAGCTCTCATTTTCTTGGGTTTGACTAGGACAACTAGAATCATCTTTAACTCATTTTAAAATAATTTTGTTCTAGCTTGAGCTCCAAATCTAAGCTGAAGTGGAGGGACTGCCAACCAACTTGTTGTAGTTACCAAATTCTTTTCAAATATAATGCTGACAAGGTTTTTGCAAACTATCCCAGTAATCCCTTTCCTAGTATCACCAGGGTTTGTTTGGTGGGATGTTGGGGTAGCAGTGTCCTGTCACTTCTCAGTTCTCAGAGATTCGAGTTATTAAAATTGTTACGGCAAGACAATGTAATAGAAAACCACCATTGGCAGCATTTGAGATCCTCTTGTGGCTCATACAGTATCAAGCATTTTTCTTAAAGTTTAGGCTCTTGATGCCATTTAACTAAATGGGAATCTTGTCTTTCTCTTTATTAAGCAATTATGTTGAACCTTTTCGGTCACGTAGACACTCCTAAAAGTGTGACCAGCGTGGTCTTCAGAACGCTCAAAGCAGATGAAAGATATAATTGGACACCACACTGACTGCCTGTTTTAATCTCACTAAGCCACCTTTACAATTTAAAGTATTTGACTCCTGATTTCCCAAGCTTCATGTTAACAGTGCTGAAATGTAGATGAGATGCACAAAGACGTGCAAAAGTTTCAGTTTTCCACATGGCTGTTACCTCTTGGTATTGCATCGAAGTATAAATACATGCACCTACACCCATTCTTTTTGTAACTTGAAAAGGTTTGATATGTAAAGGGCAAGTTTGAAAATGTTAATGTAATGCTGTGATGCTCTAGACTCCTTTTAACAGGAACCATTAAAATGTGCATAATTATAGGGCAAAATGTCAAGCAGTCAGTTTAATTTACTGATGAATATATAGAATTAATGTTTTGCAACAGTTCCAAGATTCTGAATTGCGAATTAGTGGCAAGGTAATATTTTGTTTTGTTGACATTTGTTGAAACAGTTTTGGTATTCATTTGGCCTGTGCCTTTGTCCACAGGTGGATTTTGCCTTTACAGTTTGGCAGAGCTTTCCAGAGAGGATTGTAGGGTACCCTGCGCGCAGTCACTTCTGGGACAACACTAAGGAGAGGTGGGGGTATACCTCCAAATGGACTAATGACTATTCCATGGTATTGACAGGAGCTGCTATTTACCACAAGTAAGAACCTGGAGCATCTGCTGTCCTCCTTCTGAATGAAACAAAAAATAGTAAAGAGGGGGGTGAGGGGGTGGGGTGTGAAGAACATTCTTCCGGGGAGGGTCAAAAATGGAAAGATAATAAGTCTACTTTTTATGGGGTAATAATTTAAGTTCTTGGTTTAGCTCTGGGGATCTGGTAATCATTATTGCGCTTGTTGGGTCTCTTTGAAGTCACTTGTGTTTTGAGGCAGTCGGACTGCTCTTTTTAACATCAGGAATTACACACTTCAAAGAGTTCCCGAATTCATTAAGATGCTTGGCTGAATGGCCTGTAGCATAGCAGAAAGGAGGTTACTTCCAGACCAGCTCTGGGTATGTGTTGGCTGACAGCTGCAGAATGCAAAGTCTTCTGGCTACTCTAGAAATGAAGTACAGTGGACACATCACAGTTCAGCATATTGCAGCATGTTGGAGAAACCCCCTGTCGTTAGGACTTCATCAGACCAAAGTCCTCTCTAGATATTAGGAAAAAATCAGAAAATTTTGGAATATCTAATCTACATCCCCAAAAAGGAGAAGACAGGCCATAAGGGATAGTGTAGGACCAAAGGAGAATAATTTCAACAGTAAGAACAGCAGTAGACCACTTTTACTAGAGTTCTTTCCAACTGAACAGTTTGGAAAGAAAAGGTGGGGGATGAATTCATCAGTGTTGTCTGTCACATTATAGCAATACGGGGCTCTCTTTCCTGCTTGTCCTTTATCTTGATGCTTAGGTCTGCATTGTTTCTTTCAACCCAGTTACCAAAAAGGTGTATGTTCTGTTTCTCCATGAACACTGACTTGATGAGAAACTGATTTGTTTTCCCTTCTTGTTGGAGGATGAGACTAAAAAAGGATGTGGTATATTGGGAGTTGGCTGGAAAAACTTGTGTCTGAACTGAGATAGAAATTTCCTGGACCTTGTGGTACCTGAAAGCCCAGTGACTTGTATTAACAACTCTGCTGTTGGTTTCCAGATATTATCACTACCTGTACACTCATTACCTGCCTGCCAGCCTAAAGAATATGGTGGACCAACTGGCCAATTGTGAGGACATTCTAATGAATTTTTTGGTGTCAGCTGTGACAAAATTGCCTCCAATCAAAGTAACACAGAAAAAACAATATAAGGAAACCATGATGGGACAGGTATGTATTCACAGCATATTTTAGCAATGGGGATGAACTGATAATATAACGGGTTTGCTTCTAAGTTAGGCTTACAAAGTAATACAATTCTGTTAAATTTTTTTGCAGTTTTTATTTTAGCAGAACTGTAAATAGGGTGTGGATATGCTTATTATAATGAGAGAAAAGGTAAAGATGGCAAACATCTACTGTGGATGCTGCTTCCCTTCATAGTTTTATCACACAGTGTTATACACTGTGATTCCAAACTCCTGATGATTGTGGTGACTGAATTTCAGTTAAACTCTAGTTTTCTAATTAAATTTTCTAGACCTAAGACCTAGCCATGGAATACTAGAAGCAGAAGTAAATTCTAGAAAGGTTTTCTATTTTTTATTATTATTAATTAATATAATGTACCAGGCTGTCCCTGTGCTATTTTAAATTATATAATATGATTCAAGCACTGACATTGGACTGTCACAACAGAGGTAATTTGTGATATGTAAGCGGTGTTTTCCGACAAGGAACATTTTGTCCCACAGCCATGCCATCACTCACTAGCAGTTATGAAATGCTTGCTTTAGATCCTCTTCCATTTACTGGATAAACCGTCTGTCTTTACAGAAATGGAAATACCTCTAGTAACAGGGATACATGGTAACCTGGGGGCACTTGTCTTCCTACCCTGTGTGAGAGCAATGGGAGGAATAGGAAGTCCTGCAAAACCTGCAAGTCCTGAACAGCCTCCCATCTGTGGTGCCACGGTGTCTGTGATTCTCATTGCAAACAGTGCCATGATTACTAGGGGGCAGGAGAAATAAAGGGCCCTCTATTTTTCCCTCACATTTCCTCCTATTAGCGTTACTTGGATCTTTGACTGGGGAGTGACCATGACAGTTTTTAAACTCCCTTATCTGTATGTCACTGCGCTTTCACCTGAGGTATAGGTAGCATTCAGCAATTCTGACTCATCTGGGTGCCCAGGAGACCTTCTGCAAACAAGAAGGTGCCATCCAGAAAGTACCTATTGCTTCCAATTTCAGCTTCACCTCTCCACTGGGCTGTGCTTTGGCTGTTTGGCAGAGCCTGAACACTCATTTTTCATCCTACAGCGTGGGTGACTCGAGTCAGCCATGAACTATAACTCTCTCCTAAAGACAAGTTGTTCCTGCAGCTTTGGGAAATGTAATGGACCATGTTCATAATTCCTTGAAAGACAAATAAAAAATTAACATAACCTCAGTGTTGTGACAGAGATTAATAGTCGTATGGAAATTCACTGTTAATGGCCAAAATGTCTGCTATAATCCTCCAGCAACAAGCTTTTACTTGCTCTTTAGTGGCTTGGTATAATCAGGAGGCTGTAATCAATGCACATTATAACCTACCACTTGAGCTAAACTGGACAGGCCTTGGACAAAGATCAAGTTTGATACCACAGTCATTTGGCAAGTCCTTGACTTTATCTGTTTCTTCATGTTTTAATTTACATCCTTTGACTTTATGAATTTGTATTTGTTTTTAAACTATAGTGGAACCATAAGTGCTATAGAGAGATGCATGGGAAGTGGCACAAAAAAATTCTTAGGCTCTCAGCATTCATACTTTATCTTAAATAATAGTTTTATTATGTTTATAAATGCTCTTTAGGTACAGATAAAGAATAACAACATCTTTAAAGCTGTCAGGACATTTTTTTTCTAGAGCTGCTGA